TTTCCGTGCGCCCCAGGGGCCCGAAATGTCACGACTCGAGAACTATAAAATAATGGTTTTGGGGCAGGACAGGACGAGGTGGGCGGCCGCCCGCCCGGGACTGTTCTCGTTCGCGTCCACCCCCGATATATCAAGTTGTGCGTTGCGATGAGAAAAAGTGCAGTGATACGTTAAACCAGGTGGTTTGTGAAGGATTAATCCTTTGCTTGCTTCAAATCTGAACAGGAATCTCCACACAAATGCCCCACATGTGGAAGAACCTTTAATCAAAGAAGTAACCTGAAAACTCACCTTCTTACCCATACAGACATCAAGCCCTACAACTGTGAGCAGTGCGGCAAAGTGTTCAGGCGAAACTGTGATCTACGGCGGCACAGTCTAACTCACACCCCGCGGCAGGACTTCTAGAGCAGCCAGGGACCTGCGCCCGCTCCCGCAGCTCCAACTTGCCCACTTTACTCAAGGACTGTATTGTAGGAACTCACAGATGCGCGCACACATACACACACACACAGGGACACGCACGCAGACTTGGGGCCAAGCTTTCCTACCACACGTCTGCGAAACTCGTTTAGAGAGTGCGGACTGCAGGATCGGGCCCCTCTCCAACCCACACCCAGGCGTAAAGCTCATCTTTGTAGATAATCGCGGCTCATTTTAGAGCTCTGTACAGAACGTGGTTTTCTTCGTTTGTTTGTTTTGTATCGTCGTGTCAGATGCACATCGATAACAAATTGAGGAGGCAAAGTATCTCTTAAAAGTGTATTACAGAATAAATCCTTTTTTTTTTTCCAAATACCTCCTGCCTTGTTGCATTATTCTCTGAACATTTGGGCTTTTTTTTTTTTTTTTCCTGCTGTGTCAATGCAATGGTAAAGCATATTGAATAAATTTCCTAGCCGGGTAATTGTACTGTCACAACAATTTTGGTGATCGCTTTTGTTTGGTCTGTTTCACTGTTGCTGTTGTGTTATCTATTGTTAAGTAAAATGAAAGTGCCTTATTTGAGAGTTTATAGCTCTATTACTTAATAGTATGAATGTCTAAATATTAACTTCTGTACTTTTTTTTTATTTTCCCGAATGAATTTTTTTTAAGAAGAGAAAGAAAGAAATACTTGCAAATAAACAGATCTTAGGAAATAATGCATAGAGCCGTTCTTACGCCAAAGCGGCTTATTAGTAACTTATTTGCAATCAGCCCATATATTGTAAAAGTCATCCCTCTCGCGGGGATTGCAGCAGGCAGCCTCCTGCCAGTAGACTTTGGACGCAGGCAATTCACCCGCGTAGACAGGGACTTTATCCTGCAGAAGACGATTTTTTCCCGACAGCTCTGGAAGCAAACAGCGAGGCGCCAATACCACCTTCTGCCCGGAGCTCATCTGCCGGTCCCTGGCGGAGCTGTGGCTCTGGAAGTAGAGGCCCCCTCCCCCATACGCCCCCCTCCATCCACACTGCCGAGCACAGGTCACACCCAGGGAATCTCCCAGGAGACCCTCACCCCACCGTGGAGGTCCCCAGCCACTCCCCATCGGGGTGACTCTTGGCAGTTCAGCATGCCCAGCCCATGGGCTGCATGCTCAGCGCCTACACCAGGTTTGCAGCTAGCAGGATAGTGGCACTGACTGATAGGCTCCCTTCCCTTGTCATCCTTGCATCCCTTCACCAGTGCCTCTGGTTCCCTCTGGAAAGGCCTTGTCCTAATACTGAGGCATTTTCCTGATATATTGCAGGGTGGCTTGGATGTGCATCCCCACATCTGCCACCCCACTGCTCTTGTCACTTCTAGCACCTTCCCCACAGTGTTTTGAGTAGTTTGTGACCCTAATAATTGTTCTTTCCCAGGCTGGGAGCACTCATTCTACCCTACTCCTCTGCCAAATTAAGAACCAGGTTATAATGGTGGGGAGAAATCTTTTCCCCAGGCTCAGGGAGCTGTCTGAGGGGAGAGCAATTCCCTTGCACCCAGCTCACCAGGGATGGCTTGACTGCTGGGCACCACCTAGCAGGGTGCCACAACTGCAGGACGGTCCATCCCTGGGGAGGGTCACAGGTCCTAGCAGGCCTAAGGGCAGCAGATGCTGACAGAGCTTGCGTGCCTGCACCGTCCCCATCCACGAGCCTTGTTGGTCCTGTGGCAGGGAACCACACTGCCTGAATCCTGTTAATGAGTAGCAAGTCAAACCCTGCAGCACCTGGGCCACAGTCAGGCCGTAGGTGCAGAAAGGGCTGTATCACTGCACGCACCTGATTGTTGTCTGTCTGCTGCCTCTGCAGAGGGCTACTGTGCCCCCAGGGAGCCAGGGGCAGGGACTCCTGAACTGGCATTGCTCTGCCCCAGATCAGCCAGTCAGGTGAATTTCCACTGATGTGGCAGACATGGCAGTCTCAAACTCAGCCAAAATTTCTTAAGTGCTCAAGGACTATCTCTCCATCTGCTCCTGTCCAGCAAGATAGGAAAGGAAAAAATGTTTCTACAGCCAGAAATATTGGCCTGTTGGCTGAAGTGTAGCCTCTCTAGTCGAAGTTTATGTGACTGTCATCTGCTCTCTTTTTCTTCATCCCCTGTGTCTTGCATCCCCTCCTTCGCTGGGGTTCTGCACCCCCAGAACTATCTTCAACCCCTCCTCTCCATCCCACCCTGCTGGTGGCCCCTGTCTTCCCTCTCCAAACTACTCCTTTCTCCACACTGTTCCTCTTCAAACTTCTCTCCATGGGCATATCTTACTCCCTCTCCATGGGTATCTTCCCAATATCTGTTTTCTTCCTGTCTGACAGATTCTTCTATTTCCAGTTCATTCCCATTCTCCCAGTAGGCTATTTCCTCTAAGATTCTCTGTCCTTATTGTTCTCCAAGTTCCTGTCCCCAGGCCCTTTTACGTCCCCAAGTACGCACAGCAAGGCTGGGATAACTCCATTTGAGTAAACACCCCTGTCAGGATACATATGGGCTTAGTCCGCTCCTCTTAGGCCAAGTTCTGTGTGAAGTTTGTTTGGAAAGAACTTAATCAGATGAACAATATCAAAGGACAAAATTAAAATGATTGCATATAGCTAAGGTTTTATTTAATTGTTTGAGGTTGCTTGTTTAATAATCTTTCCCCTGAGCAGACACAGACTGTAAATTTATCTTCTGAGGATTCCAAAAGTTCAGCAGCCAGAAAAAAAAGCCCAAATTGCTGAAGGGGGTCTGTGACAAGTATCTCTAACAGCTGGTCCCTGGACTGTTTTTTAATATTTAAACCAGTAGCTATCGTCTTAAAATGTCAGAGGATGATCTATATTTCTCTTTACTATTGATACACTTGCCTATGACACTGATATGCTCCATTCACTTTTTAGAAGACCATCTCTCCCAGGGAAATTTCAGAGGCAGCTATAAAGAATATGTTACAATACACATATGGTTTGTTGGTTTTAGACCTGTTGGGAACAGAAACAAGTTCTGTAAAGCTACTTTTAGGGCAGGGCTAGAGTTTTTATAGCTGTAACGTGCCATCCTGACTTTCACAATGTAAATACCAAATACAGCAATATCCCTGTGACTGCTGTTTGTGCCTGTGTGAAGTATCCTTCTTCTCTCTGGAGCTCAGCTGAGAACACAGAATATAGCTCTGTGCTTATGTAGTTTCCCAGAGCTTCCCAAACAACCTGCCTCCTGCTGCCCCATGCTTCTCCCTCCCACTTCTTTTTCAACACTGCTTTTTTTTTGCTTGCACTGGTGTGGTTCATTCTGCACCTTTTGCTGTGCTGGAGGAGTAGCTGCCATGTGGAGGCAGGGAAAAGAACTAGCTGTGCTACATACTGGGGAGAAAACCAGCAGATAATAAGATATAATGTCACCATAATCTCCGTTTATGGAGGGCAAATGATAGCCCTTTAGGCTGCATCTGAAAACTGACCTCTTTGCACATTGGTTGCTGAAATGGATGCTGTCTGCAGCCGATGGCAGAGCAGCTCAGCCCAGATATGTGTGCTTTGCTGTGAGATCATCTATTACATAGCAACAGCACACCATGCTATTGCAGACCAGCACAGACTGTTCTCAATGCCAGTGCAGATTTGCTGTCAAAGCCCAACTCTATACCAGTACCACCTCAGGAACAGGCACAGCCCAGATCTAAAGGGCAGACACCCCATCAACAGGCCATGTCTGGCTGGGGCTAAGGGCTGGTGCCAAGGGTGTCTTTGAGAAAACATGTGAAAAAACATTATTTATTGAACTCTTCTCTACCCGTCCCCTGTTCCCTCCTCCCAGCCCCCACTTCTGCATCCTTTTTCCTCTTCTTCCTTCTCACTGCTCTACTTTTGGATATTTGCTTCAGGAGCTGCTTCTCTCACCTGACTCATCCTGTACTACATGTTGCCTTCTACCTAGTCTCCCCTCCATCTCCTTCCCTACTCTTTTACCTCCTGTTTCTTTTTGTTTTGCTTTCCCATGGCCCACCCTGTGTTCCAACCCCTCTTTTCCTGAACAAATTCCTTCATTTGGACTTTCTGGTTCCCTCTTTTGAACCATCCCAAATTCCACTTGTTGCCTTATTCTGGCCTTCAGCTGTCAGCCCATATGAGCTCCTCTCTCTTCCCTGACCCAGAGCTTGTTTCCCCTGCCTGGTACTTCTCATACACTGCTGGTCCCTCCTTGCTGATCCCATTAATCAATGCCATGTCCACATGGCACTTGGGAGGCATCAGTGCAGGTGCCATAGATGCACTCAGATCGATTTCAGCATGCTGAGTCTGACCCAAAGCCAGCAGCACAGTTGCAGGAGGACCAGGATTGGTGATGCAGGCAGCTGGTGACAGCCCAGGCTGCTCAGGGTGGGAGCACTGTTGGCAGCAGCACTGCAGCCCCCAGACTTTCTGGCCCTCACAAAGGTCAAGAGGAGCTAATGGTTTCACTCGCAATGTACTGGCCCCAAATTGTCAAGGCTGAATTTGCAGTTAGTCAGCTAAGCTGCACTGGTGGCTAAGAGCCTCTAATCATTCCATGCTCCTAATATTGTAACTGCAGGTAGTCCTTTATGTGTAGAAGAATGACTTAGTTTTCCAAACTACATTATGCAAGGAATTAGGCATATGTTGCTTTTATTTTAAAATTGCACTTTGTTTCTAGCTTATATTTCTCTCCTCAGATCATATCTCTTCCTACTTATGGAAACTTGTATTAGTTCTTTTTCTAACTTAGTGCAATTATGACAAAAATAGGGTAGCTACTAGCCAACAAGTTATTTTTATTAAAGTTATTAAAAAGAGGAGTTCTTAGATTGAAAAATATTTGTGTTCAAAATAAAGGCATCATATCTGTATAAAACATTCATTTTAATGTCTCTTTTAAAAAATCCAGATGCAGATGTTTGTGAGAATTTTTACTAGAAGCTTCTAGTTTATCAAACAAGAGATGCA